GAAGGCACACCGTTCTCGATATCACCTAAACTAACCATAACACAACACAACCAAGTTGTAAAACTATTACACGAATTTAAAAACATTTTTACAACAGATGCCTCTCACATAAAAGCCGCCAAAGTAACCCCTTGTGAAATAAAAATGAAACCGAATTATAAAGAACCAAAATTTAATGCACCACATAGAGTTTCTCTACAACAAAGAATCGAATTACAAAATCAAATAACTAAACTCTCTGAAGCCGGTATAGTGAAACCAATCACATCTAAATTTGCGGCACCAGCTTTCTTAGTAAAAAAAAAGGACGCAGGCTCCTATCGGCTAGTAGTATCATATAAAGAATTGAATGATAGGGTAGAAAGTGACCAATACCCAATTCCACGAACCTCAGATCTGCTTAGAGCCTTAGAAGGTTCGAATTACTTCTCCTCCTTAGATTTAAATAGTGGATTCTTTCAAATTCCGGTTAAAGAGGACGACCAATACAAATTAGCATTTACATCTGTGATGGGTCTATTAACTTTTTCTCGACTTCCCCAAGGATACAAAAATAGCTCCGCAATATTTCAAAGAGAACTAAATAAAGCATTTTCCCCTTTATTGTACAAATCACTCGTGATATATATCGATGATTTAGCCTCATATGGAAAAACCTTACCTATACTTACATTATTTCATTTTTGTACTTTTGGGTTATTACAGAACCGTCTTTTGTCGTAAGTGATTTTAAGTGGTTAGTGTAAGATTCATTTCGATAATTTGCTAGGATGCGTTTGAGATTTTGCGCGAGTGCATTATAGTGGCATTTATCAGCCGGGTATTTAGTTCTTTGCCATAAATAGCGAGCGCGACGTTTTTGTACAATAAGGGTACGTATATATAAAGGAAGAATTGCGGTGGGTGTGTGTGGTTTCGATGGTAGAGCTGATTCCCATGCTGAGGTTTGTATATTGGTTGTTAAGAGATTCACCGCGTCATCAATGTCAGCTGTGGTTTTCAGCCGGACTTTTAGACTAGTTTTTTGTAGGATTGATTCTTGAAAATTTTCCCAGTTGATTTGAGAGTGTAGCGGTGGTGCATTGTATTGGTTGGATAAAGGCTGGCAGTCTAGTGTGAGTAGAATGGGGGAATGATCTGAGCATGGAGCGTGGAGATTTATAATCGAGGAGTGGAGCGTGCTAGGGATTTTTGTTATAAATATATCTAAAATATCCGGTCTCTTTCTAGGAGACGTTGGCCAATAGATGGGGTTTGGAGGTGAGATGACTCGTAGGGTATTGTGAGTGATACTTTGTAAGAGTGAGTTTCCTCTCGGAGTTGTGGTGCGGCATCCCCATTGAATATGTTTGGCATTTATATCGCCACCAACTATGAAGTTATGACCAAGTGTATGAAAATAAGGATCGAATTGATTTGAATGTATGGCGTGTTTTGGAGGACAGTATATAGCTGCTATTGAGGTGGGAATACTATTAATTGATATGGATACCACGCAAGACTGGATGTAGTCTGTTTGAAAATTAGTAAGTTGGTGCGATGCAAGTGATGATCTAACATAAATAGCAGCACCTGCATGTGCAGTTCCATCTGGGTGGTTAGTTTGATATGAGCGGAAACCTGGTAGGTTGAATGAGTAGTTGTTTGTAAAGTGCGTTTCGGATATTAATGCAATATCAATTCTTTTTTCTTGTAGAGTGATTAAGAATTCGTCTTTGTGATTTTTTAAGCCATTTGCGTTCCATGAAAGGATCGTGAGAGAGTTGTTGGTAAATGAGTTATATGTTGTGTTTGACATTTAAAAGATTGGTCATGACTGTTGTGAGGAGAGAGATAAGTGAGTTTATTATGCATTTGAAGTCTTCTAAAAATTTAGTTAGTACATTGTTATCAATGCTAGATGTTTGTTGGGTGTCGGGGAAGTTTGGCGGTGGTATGTTACCTGTATTAGTAGCTGCCACTTCTGCGTATGAGTGATGTTGAGTTCTTGGAATTTGTGTCGATGGATGTGGTGTTGGTTGGTTGATGGACTGCGAATGGTGGTTGGTTGGTGGTGGTTGCTGCTGCTGACTGTTATTTCTTGAGTTGTAAGGTTGGCGGCGACGCTGCTGAAGCTCTTTGTATACAATACAACCTTTGTAGCTGGCAGGGTGTTCGCCGTTGCAGAGCGCGCATTTTGCCGGCAATTCAGGTGATTTGGTGCAGTTTGCGGTAGGATGAGTCTCATCACATTTAACACAGCGAGGAGAATTAGAACAGTAGCTCCTTGTGTGACCGTAGGTCTGACAGTTTAGGCATTGGGGAATTTCGCGGCGCTTGTGAGGTTCTTCTACTTTGATTTTTGTATTTAGTAGGGAAGTAATATTAAATATTTCTTTACTTATAGTTTCGGGAGCAAGATCAACGAAAAATAATGGTAGTGCTTTTTTGGTTTTTTGGTGTTTTATATTAGTCACTTGCCTTACGGTAAAGCCGATCTCTTCTAGGGCAGAAGTGATTTCAGTGGGTTCGGTTGTATGATGAATATTTTTTATAACTGCTCTGAGTGATTTATCTGACTGAGGTTGAAAGGTATGGTATTCTGCTTTTTCGTTTTTTAGAAAGTGTATAAGTGTTCTGTAGTTATCAGGAGTGTCTGGTTGAATTTTTAGATGCGTGGTAGTTGATTTGCAAGTGAAGCTATCCTGCCCAATTAGATCGCCAATTGCATTTCTAAGATTAGAAAAGTTAAGTATTCCTTTTACAAATATTGGTGGTGGTTGGTCTTTTTTGTTTGTTTGTGTGATTGCGGATTCGTTTTGATTATTAGTGTCATCGTTATCAATTGTATCGGGTTCATTTTCAGTTAATACGGAGAATCGGTTTGGCGAGGAAAAAAATTTTGATTTTTTGCCCTTGGATATTGATCGGGCTATTTGGTGAACAGGGGAGATTACGTTTTGAAGGTTTTTGTTGTTGCTGCCATTCGGGGCTTGATAATGGAAGAGCTTTGTTAATCACTTGATTATTAACTATTTTAATTGGTTGTACCGTTTTAGCTTGTTTACTTTTAGGCGGATTAGATTGCATGGTGCGGTTATCTAGTTTGCAGTCCAAAGGTCACCGCGTTAACGGTGCCTGGAGTGACTGATATAGATAATTTTTTCTCTCTTGTTATTAATTAATTAGTTAATTAAATATATATTACTTTTTTTGATGTAGCGATGATTGAAGGTGCTAAAGTGGTTTGATAGTATGAGTTGTAAGTTTGTTGCGACTTTATATTGAATTTGAAAAAAAATTAGATCGTAAACCGATAAGATTAACGAATAATGTATAAACATAGCTCGGGAACAATGAACTGCACGTATGCGCTGTACGGTTGCTCGAGCTGAACTGAGACCGATTTTGATGAAATTTTTTACACCGTGTGTAATTTGGTCCAACTTAAAATATAGGATAGTTTTTTTTCCAATTTTTTAATATTTTAAATATTTTAATTAACTTTTTAATAAATGTGTATAATTGCATGGTGTATTTCGGGTTTTCCCGTGACCGACCGCGACAGTATCTATATAGCTACCTGTAATCTGACCTTTTTTCTATTGTGTGTGTTATATCGTCTGCGGCGTGTAGATATGAATTGTTCCGAGAATTATATAACTAACCTAACCTATGGTTTTTATCTCAATATTATTTTTTGCATTGCAATTATTGTAATAAATATATAGGATAGTTTTTATCTCAATATTATTTTTTGCATTGCAATTGTTGTAATGAAGAAAGTTATAGAATTTTCGAGAAATGTTCAAAGGTATAAAATACGAAGTTCGGTACGACGTAAATTCAGAAAATATATATGTTGGTTTGTACTTAATTTCAACATTTAGATACTTTACCTATTACTTTTAAATTTTCTCATACATAATAACACTAATACATGGCCTACGAAAATGCCAAAAAACCAACTAATACGCGGGCAACGCCGTGTCGGGACAGCTAGTGTCATATAAAATATATTTTGTACATTTATTGTATAACTAAATAAACTTGAATACAAAAGTATTTATAAATACAAATAATTTATTTTTTTTTATGAATTTAGCTGTGTGTGAATAAAATTTTTAATATTATAATTGTGTATTCAATGATATTTATATCTAAACCATATTATCTTGCCAATGAACCGCTCCGCTAGTGTTGAAATAATGACAAAATTGATCCCTAATTTCTTTGGCAGTTGAAGGCGAGTTTCGACTTTGGGCATATTGTAGCTCAGTTAAATTACGATTTTCACTTCTCCAGCTTCCTGGTTCAATTTCTCCTGTAAATATATTTTCTGTATCAAAACTCTCTTGCAAAAAAATATCCATTTTTTTTCTTCGTAAATAATTATGTAGATGACAACAAGCTCGGACAATTATTGTAGCTTTTTCAGGACTGAGATTGATAGTTTTCAAAAGTATTCTGAATCTTGATGAAAGTATTCCAAATGAATTTTCAATTACTCTTCGGGCTCTTGACAGTCTATAGTTGAAAATACGTTTTTCTTTTATTAGATTTCTTTGTGGGTAAGGTTTCATCAAATTATCGGACAATGGAAATGCATCATCGGCCACGAAGATATAGGGCATTTTGCAGTTAATTCCGGGTAAATAATCAGGTTTAGGTAACTTCAGTTTATTTTCTTGAAGATGTTCACAAAACAATGTATTTGAAAATACTCCCCCATCAGATACTCTTCCATTGGAGCCAATATCTACCATAAGGAACTCGTAGTTGGCATTACAAACTGCCATTAAAACAATGCTAAAATTATGCTTATAGTTGAAATAATAAGAGCCAGATTCTTGAGGTTTCGTAATGTCTATGTGTTTGCCGTCAATTGCGCCCAAACAATGATTAAAATTCCAATTTTTTTCAAACTCTTCTGATGTTGCTTTCCACTCATCTTCGGATGCTGGCATCTAAATATAAAATAATTAAAAATTAACTAAATTTGAACTCTTTCATTTTTTCAGGATGAAAGTATTTGTGATATGGCCGAAATGGATGTGGTTAGTTCTTCACCAAAACCAGGTGGACCACCAAAAAAAAATAGCGAAAAAAGGTAATTTTGAAGAAAAAAGGAAAAATAATTTACTGGAATTGGCATGTAATCGTCTCAGCGTAGCTAATTCTGATAATGATATCCTAGCCAAAACTTGGGCAATAGAATTGGCAAAACTTGACCCAGATCAAAAACTTTATGCTCAAAAAGGAATAAATGACATTCTATTTGAGACTCGATTAAACACTTTACACCGCAATTCAATATCGATAAATCATGTTTGCTCAGATTCTCGTTCTTCAACTCCATCGACTTTCATTCAACGCACTGTCACACCAATTCTATTAACTGATACTTCTTCAACTTTGTCAAGCACCCAACAATCGTGGCCAAATACAGCTCATAATACATTTTCTGATCTCTTGTCAGATCCTCAATATTCATTACCGCTTTAAGCATTAAGAAATACTAATTTTTGAGTTTATAAAGTTAAATATTATTTTTTGTTATAATTTAGAATTGATACTTAACATAAATTTAAGCATTGGAAAACACTAATGTTTTTAAGTTTATTAATTGTTTGGAATGTTAAAGTTGCAATTATTATATTTTGTTTAATATTTTTTTGATACTAGTAATAAAAAGTAAAATGGTCTAATTCAGTTAAGGTATGATAAAAATTACTTACTCTGATATTATTTTTTAATACTAATGTAATAGCTTCACATGTTTCAACTACAATTCTTCCGATTGATTGAGGTGAAATTGTTGTAATAAACTTTAGTTCTTCAAAGTTTGCACCAGTAGCTAAAAATCTTAGAGTGCATGATAAACGTTGGCTTGGTGGTATAGCTTCTCTCAGATGAGTGCTTCTTTTAAAAATAAATGGTGTAACCATTTCCAATAATTCTGAAAATGTGGAATTGTCCATACGAAGGTAATTTTTATAGTCGGACGGAGATGATAAACGCAATTCGTCAAGTAGATTATGATGAGAAAATGTATGTCTCTTCTTAAACCATTCTTTCATCCAGAATCTTTTTTCTTTTTTTCTTTTTTTTCTTCTTTTTTTCACATGCTAGATATATTGCAATAGCGACGAGAGCATCTTCTTCCATTGTAATAAAAAAAGTGAAAAATTCAAAAAGAATTTTTATTTAAAACTGGTAAAATTAGTAAAATAATTAAACAGTATAGAGAGAATAAAGTAAACACAAACTGCTGTGTAGAATAAATGAGAACTGTCAATCTTGATTGACCATAGGTTGTATGTGTATGGCAACCATCAGTCATCAGTCGAACTGTCATTCAAGACGATTGTCATTCTTTGAATGATAGTGTATGGCCCGTTTTAGAAAGATCGACCAGTCGATCGCGATCGACTGGTTGGCGACCCCTGGTATGGAGGGTATTAATTTTTTTTTAATTAGATGCAAAATTATGCATTATTAATGCTTTTTAGAGTAGATTTTCATCATTACCGCTGTTTAAAGACTGTAAATTGCATATACAACCTATAATTCATTAACGTTTTTTTTTTTTTTTTTTATTCAAAGAGTGGTTTGTTTTTTCGTGTATATAATTAATTAATTTAAATAAAATACCTGTTGGGATGTTTGAACAATCTATAAATAAAACAAAAAGTTTAAATAGATTAAGAATAAAATATAATATCAGCACAAGATACAGTATGAATCTGTATTTACATTACAGTTATGGTTAGATATGTTTTCAAAAATAAACTCTTCTACTTTTTTTCTGACTGAAGTCTACAATCAAATGCTCAAAAGATGTAACAAAAGCGTTATCACCTTATAATACAAATAAAAATTACCATTTTCTTTAATTTCTTATCAGTAAAAAATGTTTGGTTTAACAATTATTTAGAAAATTATGACTAAGTTCTCAAAAAGTACAAATTTATTATAAAAATATTTTAAATTCTGAGTGAAGCGAAGGATCTTATGGTTTTACAATTATGTTAATTATTTTTTTTTTTTCGTATACAATTCACTACGCGCTATCGGCGTAATGTTTAATCATTATCTAGCATATCTAAGATTACGACTACTTCATGGTAAAATTTAAATTGAAGTATTTGACAATAATAAACGGTTTTCGAGTTCATACTTGTAAATTTTACTCCGAGACCCTGATTTTTCATAGTGAATCGTGAATTAACTACAGATTTTTGCTCGACTTTTTGTTAATTGCAGGACCCCAGGAAGCCCGGGGACCTGTGTGACCGCACAGCTCGCACACCCCTAGCTCCGCCATTGAAGAAAAGTTAGTTTCGCCCCTCCCTCACCATGTCCTCAACTCAATTACGTCCTTGGTAGACAAATATATTAAAAACATTGTACTTATCTAATATCAAATGAACTAAACTAACATCAATGTGTGATACTCAATGGGTTGAAAATCACGACGGAATTCATTTTTTTGTTGAAATTTTCCAACCGATTATTGAAACTTTGGAAGATTTACAATTAGTTCAAGACATGTATATATCATCAACAGCACTTCAATTTTTTTGAAACTATAGTCACTAGTGAATTTATATTAAGTATGATTACATCAAATACTCTGTCTTCAATGACACTTTCACAGTGTAAAATTTTACAATCAATTTATTGTGACTTGGTCTTAATGGACTTAATGAGATGGTTTTAATGGTTTGGAAAAGTGATGAGGCAAGAAGAAACAAAAGCAGAATATGAAAATGAACGTTGAACGGAAATTAAGACAAGGAAGATCAAAAATAAGATGGTTGGATACAATTGAGAATTATATGAGGGCTGTTGTTGTATGCGTAGGGGACGTGGAAGATCGACACGAGTGGAGGTTTGGGACAAGAGGGGCTGACCCAAAATATTTGAAATTAAGACGAAGGAAAAAAAGAAGATTGATAATGTATTATATAAATAATTCTGGAAAATTTTTATAATATTAAACTTAAATTATATAAAAATATTAAGCAATAAGTTTTTTCTAAATGTGTTAAAATTTGGAGGGAAGTTGAACATATCTCCTAGATATGCCCTTGAATAACACTAATATCAAGTTATTACCAATTCAGTTGTTAATATATTTTCAACGTCGGACAGTGTAAGTGTTTTAGCATAAATTATTGTAATAAATGTTAATAACGAAAATTTAAAAAAATACCATATTGGGTTAATCCAACTAAAAAATCAAAAAATTAAAAGTGGATTGACCGCAATCATACCAACAAAATAAACTTATTTTAAAATCTTTCATTTTAAAATAATTATAACTTTCAACTTTCACATATAAATATAATGAATAAATTAAAAATAAATTTCAAGTGTTGGTCACTAAAACAATATACCTATTGCATGTGGCATAAAATGTAACCTACATTTGAATAATGCTACCGTAAAGTCGCGTCCACACTATGTCGATATATGCCATCTGGAAAAATCAGATGTCGATGCCAAATGCCATTCATTGGGTCCACCAGGGATGGCGCGAGGGGATGGGAAATAGGGGCAGTTGCCCAGTGCCCCGCGCTTTAAATTATAATTAAGGCCATGAGGTTCTGATTTAACTGAACTTAAAATATTTTATTAATATAAATTATATGACCCAACTTTTATTTTGCCCTGGGCCTCGCAAACTCAGTGGTGTCCACATTGTACATTCAATAACTATTCAGTCAACCAAGATGTATGCCGACTGTGACTTGCTTATTGTTGCTACAGCTGTAATTATAGTCAAGCCAGGAAATCAAGGAAACGACGATATTGGTTATTTCTGTGTTTAAAAAGTGGTAGAGCTAAGCATAGTGTCAACGATTTTTTGAATGATTTAATTGCGGAAGAAGTAGATGAATTAAATCTGGAATACAGATGTGGAACTGCTGTGTTCACCCGAAATATTGCCAAATTTTTAGGTGTTCCGTAGACTAGAAATATTCCGGTTTATATTTATTGTGCAATTGTGCGTTTTAAAAAGAATTTAAATTTAAGTTAATAAAAACCTATTTAAATTTAGTGATTTAAAATTCCCGGGACCAAACGTCCTATTTTAATAATAGACGAGGATAAAACATTCGTGGACTCGTTTTTTTTTTTACGGGGAAGAAACGACGGGGGCGAAACGTCCTTTCACCTTTTACTAACATTGCATATTAGCAGGGGTGGATAGGCCCATAGGGAAAAAGGGATTTTCCTTGTGAACCTTCGCCCTATATTATGTCGGTGGCCCCCTCGATACCATACATTTTTTCATGGTAATCTATTTTTTTTATTTTATAGTTAAATTATTTAAATTAAATTAGGATGAGTAAATATTATACATTTTTTAAAAAAAATTTTTTTTTTTATTTTGATAGCCCCATTAAAATATTTCCCCGTAACAAAAAAAATCCACCTCTGCATATTAGGTATTTATTGTATTGGTTCAATCGTAAAATTAAAAACAATAAAATAAATATGCTAACTGTCAATATTAATGATCTATCTTTTTTTCCTCTGATGCTTTAGATTTTAAAGTTCTATAAATTGACCCCAAGTTTTTTGAGTTGCCCATTCATGTGATAAAGCATTAAACTTGCTTTGCTTTTACCGTTATTCAACTGCGATTTATGCACCACAACGGTATTTATACTCTTTGACTCTTTTTTGATAACGGACTACTTTTTTTCTTGTTTACTAAGCTTACATTTATCCACTGATAACACGTCTGTTGGTTTCCATGCGGAAATTTTTATTTGCTGTTTTTTATACCCATTTGACGAGAGACATTATAGTAATTTAATCTTAAGTTGCATATGTGGTTATATTATGCAATTTTAGTTGTAAGTGTTTTTATTTGTTTTTATTTGTTTTTATTTGATGGTCAAGCCGGTATTATCTACACGATTTGATTAGAATTTGTTTTTACTGTGTAGTCACATCCATTTGCCTCAGGATAAAATATGGGTGAATTATGAAAGTTTGTTGCTAATCAAGTTTAAGAAATATGTGAGTTTTATATTTCATGTTTTTTCAATTTATAGGTCTCTACTTACAACTTAAATTTTTGATGTATTATGATTTTATAACAATGCAATTTTTGTTGAAATTGTAAAACACATAATATTAATTTTTATTCCTTCTCGAATGGTGATATTAACATAAGTATTAATTTTATAAATTGTTTATGGTAGTATTTTTTTTAACAACATTTTTTATGTTTAATTTCAGAGGAATCATAAGTCATTATGAATGTTGAAACACCCATTGAAACGGTAGTTCAACAGCTTGCTAATGCTGTTGATCTAACCATGAATCCATCCATGTCGCCAGAAAAACGTCATGAAGCATATCGATTATGTGATAGTTTCAAAAATGAGTTTCCTTTGTGCGTTCAGTGCCAGTGTGCTTTATATTTTACAAGTGACAATGCACCATACACGGATATGGTTCGGCATTTTGGTCTTCAACTCATGGAAGATTGTATTAAATTTCGGTGGTACCAAATGGTTCAAGATGATAAATTACTTATTTTTAATACGATCATGAGTCTTGTTAATTCTGGTTCACCAACACTACAAATTAACTATTTGAAAGATGCGCTTGCTAGAGTTGTTGTAGAAATGATCAAAAGAGAATGGCCACAGCATTGGCCTGGAATGTTAAATGAATTAGAATATGCTACAACATTAGGTTGTTGTCAGACAGAAACTGTTTTGCTAATATTTTTGAGATTAATTGAAGATGTTATCTTATTGCAAACTGTTGACAATGCAGCTAGACGGCGAGAAATAAATAAAGAACTTCAATTGAGTATGTCTAAAATTTTTCCATTCTTTTTAAATGTGATTGATACCCATTGTAGACAATATTTAGAATTCTTAAGTAGAAATGAACAAAATTCTGCTACTTCTTTAATTCGAGTAATCAAACTTGCATTAGCAAATATTGGAGAGTTATTTGAGTTTATTCAACTGTCACATGTGAATTTTAAAGATTGTTATATAATCACTGTCTTATGCTCATTATTAGATGATATTAATTTTAGACAACCTGCTGTTGATTGCTTGTCTGTATTACTTTCAAGAAAATGTAAAAATGAAGAAAGAGAATGTATTATTCATTTTTTTGATCAGCCTTTACATCAATTATCTATGGTTGTACTAAAATCAATTAATCAAGAAGCAAATGATGAAAATAATATATTTTTAAAAACATTATCCAAAGTAGTGTCAATGTTGAGTTCTGTATTGTGTGCTTTTTGGAAAGATAACAAATTGCATAACTTTAGTGTTGATGAATCTGAAAAAATACTTATGTATTATGTTGAATTGTTGCATGTTTGTTTGGGCCATGCATCGTTGAATGTTATAACTAATATAAATCAAGCATGGTGTACATTATTTAAGCATACTGAAATCAGTAAGAATATTTTATTACAACAAAATTACATTCCAAAGTGGTTTTTGTTATCATCAAAGAAATTAATAAAGATAGATTACAAAAACTTAGATCCATTCACCTTACTTGATTTTACAGACGAGGAAAGTTATAATACTGTATTTTATCATACACGAGCAGAGATAGTTGAAACGATAAGATGTGCTTCTGCTGTTGAAAATACAATTATGTTTACAGTTACAGAAAATTTACTTAAATCATGCATTGAAAAAACCTCTACAAGGATGAAAATTGTTCCATTTTGTAAACCGGATTCTGAGGAATTTCTAGAATGGGAAGTTATTGTATTAATATTAGATGGAGTTGTAAGTAAATTATCATTGGCTCCAGATTCTGAAATTGTTCGTAGAGGATTAAAACTTATTGAATTATGTTTAAAATTTGATACTAGTGACCCATTAATATTATCATTCCTTCTTTCATCTGTATCTGCATTATTTTTTTTTCTAACGGCAACATCTTGGCCTTCAGAATATCTTCATGCTACACTAAATAAAATGTATGAATATTTAATACTTGAGTGTCATCCAGATGATCAATTGTATGTCCCAATAAAGGATTTAAGATTCCATTCAGCATCTTTATTTATTAAATTAAGTATCAAATTTCCTCATCTTTTACTGCCAGTTTTTGACAAGCTGTGTTCATTAAGTGATCAACTTTTATTGAAAACTAGCAAAACTGGTGAACATCTTAATGTATGTTTACGTTTACAAGAGTCCCTTTTAGTACTGAATAACTATGTACCAGATTTTGAAAAACAAGCTCAACTAATTACACATATTTTAGAACCTTGTCAATTGATGTGGCAAAAACTTCAAAGTATTGTAACTGGAAGTCCTGAAGGATTATTAGCATATTTAGGCCTTGATAGGCCACCAGTTGATTTAGAATCTGATCCATGCCTGCAAAATCGAAATCATTTGTCTCATTGTGTTAGTGTATTGGCTAGTGTCATGACTAGAAGCAACACAAATTCAAGCTTATCAAAAGTTCCATTTGTTTCACCAGTTACTGAACCAGTTTTATTACTTCTCCCTAATGTATTTTTATTAATTAAAAATTTAAACTCATTATGTTCAGAAAATGTAAAAAAATTAATGCATCCTAGTTATACTACAATCTTACAAATATTTCCACAAGAAAGAGATACGTTGCTTGGAAAAAACACTGTATCTGAAAAAAATGATCCATTCCAGATGTTTAGACAAAAACCAAAACCTGATCCAACATATAAAATCAAATGTTCAATTTTAAATGTTTATGAAAGTTGTTTACTTGTTCTTGGAAAATCCTGTCTCCTAATTGGTGATCGATTTTATGCATTACAAAACTTTGCTCCGAGTTTTATAGCAACTATAATGAGTGATGCAGATTCCTTGCCACATGTACGAATCAGAATTATTATGAAGTACTTTATCAAACCATTTCTTATTAACTGTTCGAGTAAATATTATGATACAGTTCTTATTCCTATTCTAAATTCATTTTTATCTCACATGTTAATACGTCTAAGTGTAACATGGCAGAATTTACCAGAGCGAGAAGAATATGATTCTAAAGAAGCAGATTCTGAAGAACTGTTGGAAGATATGATGATACGGCTGTTAACTAGAGAATATTTAGATTTAATACGTTTATGTTTAACTATTTCTAATGATTCAAAAAAAACAAGTCCACATGGAAGTGTAGAAGAAATTCCTATATATCAAGCTAATAGTGATTTATCTGAATTAGGTGTAAAATTATTACGAAATGAACAATCAAGACGGTTAATTATAGAAAGTATTTTAAATGGTCTGTCATGGAATTCAACTATAAGCCAATTTTGGAAAACTTGTCAAATATTTCAATGGGATAACCGACCAGTTTTACCACCCTGGCTTGATAGTCAATCTAGTTATAAAGCAACATATTTAATTCAATTGATTGTCAAACATTTGGCTGTAGAAGATGAAAGAGAAAGAGCTGCTATGACAATTGCACCAGACTTGTTGATAGCAGTTCTAGAAAGTCTTCATTGGTTTGGTCACCACGATTCTAATATAGGCCCTCTTTTAGCAACATGTCTTAACATATATGAAACATTTCGTAGTAAAAATGATCAGATATTAGGTGTTCTTCAAAAGTTACCACAAATTAATTTGGAAACATTAGAACGTTTTGATAAATGGGTTATGAGCAATGAAACGTTGAATAACAAAGTGAACAAAGGTAAACGAGAAATGTTAAAAAAGTTACTGACAGGTTGTATTGGAAAAGATGTTAGCCAAACTCATAAATGCAAAGCAGAACTAAGAGACTTACCTAAAATTCATATTCCAAAAGTTTGCACTTCAGATTTATTAGAAAATGGTGATGATTTGAATATCAACAATTTACAAAATTAATTTGTACATTTTATTAATACATGTATTTTTCATTTTTGTTGTTATTGTTTTATTTATTTATTTTTTTTCCATTTACATTATTGATATGTCTACCATAAGGATATGTATAATTATAGTACTATGCAGTATCTGTAATTCTGTGTATGTAAATGATTAATTTTGTAATCATTAAAATGGCATGTTTTATAATTTTATTTTTTGTATTTATTTAATAAAAACCGAGTTTACCGAAGAAGAAGAAGAAGAAGAAGTATTTATTTAATACTGAAGTAACATTGGTGAAGATTTTAAGAAATTTTGAAACTTTAATAAAATCGTGTATTGTAGTATTATTATAGGACAACTTACATTATAATTATCTTAAAATTATCAGATATACCTATGTTGTCTATACTAAATATAGTATTCTAATATTCTTCCTTACTTTAGGACTTAAATAACTGGTAGGTACACAGTTAACATTAAACATTAGGTAAAGTTAATTGAACACCGTTATTAAGACAATAGTATAGAAATTAATATAGGATCTGTGAATTCATCTTGCAGTACATATAGTAAAATGGTTTTATAACTAAGTATACTTAAATACGATAAACGAGAGGATATAGTTCACGCAAAAATAAACGCGTTTCAGAAAAGATTTCATACATAATATAATTTAAATTTTTTTATCTACTGAAATATGGGTTTTAATATTAAAAATATATTTTAATAACATTAACAAAAATTTACTGTAAGTCTTTAAATATATCTTCAAAATCAGCTGATAAATACTAATGTACATAATGTAGAGTTAATTTTTATTGCTATTTCAATCAAATTATTTACTTTTCATTATACTGTGCGGCTCGAAAATCTCTTATCGTTGGCCACCCTTATTATAGACTATAGCAGCGTTTCCCAAACTGTGGTTCGCACGTATACCGGAAGAGGTCCGCGAACGTAATTAAAAATACACAAAGTACCTATCCATAAGAACTAAAATACTGATGTAAGATTTGTATTATATGGAAAATATATTATCGAATTAGTTATCGTTGAAAAGCAGTTAAGTTTAGAGGTAGCGTTGGTTTATTGTTATTTATCATAAAAATATCTGCATTTAGTTCAGAAAGTAAAGCAATCAATTTAGTATTACAGTGGATCGTTGATTATCCGCACTACAAAATTTTTGAGTACAAATATATTTTTAGTTTAATTTAATTTAGTTTTATCATTCGATATGTTATATCGTGTATTATAATGTTTCATTATATATAAATACATATATATACATATATATATATATATATATATATATGTATTTTTTTATATTATGTATGAATATTACATTTAGTATTATATCTAGTAAATTAGTTTATGAACTTTATATTACAATTTTCAATGGTTATTTGATTATCCGTACAAATCGATTATTCGCACTCCCTTCGGTCCCAATTAGTACGGATAATCGACGCTCCACTGTATTTGATATTATTGTTTTTAATTTTTATTTGTATTAAGGGGTCCGCGATCATTTTTATTATCTCTAAGGGGTCTGGCAGATAAAAAGTTTGGGATACGCTGAACTAGAGAATGTTATAGTGTTCAATAGAAAATGTTTTATAAAAGAAACATGCAGGGGCGTATTTAGTTTTACTTTTAGGGAGGGGAGGGCGACTCAAATTTTTTTTTTAATTCAGGCTCAAAATGTACATGTAGGTAAATTTTTGGTAATATTTAAATCAAGTGAATCCTTGATATTTGTTGTTTGTTTTTTTTAATTTAATGCCAGATCTACTTAGAATCGATTTTTGTGTAGTTCTTTTTTAACACCTGTCTGTGTTTTGAAAGTTACACTTGTGTTCTATTTGATTTTTTACTAAGTATGGACCTGACAAAATGCCCAATTCAGTATTTACAGCCACTCGTATTTTGATTTCTTTATAAAATGATCCACGTTAAAAAATTTTAAACGTGTATCTCACATATAGTTGATTCCTTAAATAAGGATTCAGGGGGGAGATCACCCTCCCCCCTGGAAACATGTTCGTTATGAATAAGTATATTTGAGGTGCAATTTTCAAACAAACAATAACTAAACCTCACCAAATATTTGACACATTTATAAATGAGTAAAATAATAATTATATAAAATTCATTAAATGTAAAATGGATCAACATAGGGTCCTTAAATTCAATGGTATTTATGATATTCCACAGTTAACCATTATCTTTTAGATTCTCATGTAGTATTACAATAATAAGCATATATAATATAATTATAATTACTATAACATACATTTTGATAACTTAAGAAATCATTAAGTTAGGTTTAATAAATTACTGTAGTATGACTGATATGTTAGCGTAAGGGATAAAAGAGGAATGTAATGTTTTTATTAATTAAAATTAATTCCTTATACTGTTTAAATTTAATTAACTATGAATTATGATAACACAGTTGAAAAAAATCAGTCACAAGTATATCAGTTTGGCAGAACAATAAAACCTGTAATGAACCAATATCACCTGTGAAATCTAAAAGAGGTGTATATATTACAGTTGGTCTAATCTTCCATTCAGCATTGGGTTGCAATTGTATATTGTAAATGTAAAAAAGTTATATTCAGTGGGTGGATAGATTTTTATTAATTAACACAAATCCATGGCTAGGCATTTAGTTAAAATAGAATATACTATCATAGATTATTATATTTTCATTTATGATATTTACAAGCCAATTTTTCAACATATTTTGTTTCTATTTTGTATATTCCAATAAAAAATGTATTTATTTATTTTATTGTTGATATAAAAACTTAATTTATAGTAAAATTACGAATGTAGTCTTAATTATTTAAAATTCTATACATTTTACTGAGGTGTCTTAGTCAAGATGATAACAGCACTGGGAACCAAACCTATAAATAAACAAATTACTTTAAAAATTATTTGTTATCACACATAATTAAAAAATAAATATGTAATCTGTAAATAATTTCTGGTCTATAATTTGAAATTATTAATTCTAATAAATTATTATTTTCCCAAGGAAATTAATATAGAATTTATAGTAACTAAAAATCTTATTATTTAAAACAAAAATGTACATAAAAGTTAAATTGAAAATATAGGGATATAAAATATTTCTAGTCTGTGTTTCCTTATTTTACGCAATAAATTAAAAATATGAAAATATAATAAAGTAAAAATAAAAATATAACTGAATATAATTTCAATAAATGATTAGTTTATAAGTTGTTAGATCATTAATTTTTAAGTCCTAGATAAATAAAATAATAATTTGATATTGTAATATTACCTAATTGATCAAGTGGTTTTTCATAGTCGTCAATTGAAAAAACTTTTCTTGGAAAACTAGTCATGAGACAGAAAGGTGCATCACCATCAGATCGATGAAGTTCAATATAAACTCTCACAGCAGCAAGAACTTCTTTGGCATTAAATGTTTGGATAATAGTTTGACCATTTGTAAGACGGATCTAAATACAAAATATCATTGAAACTAATTAAATTATATTTACATTAAATAATTAATTTATAATAACATAATAATAAAGCTACTATAAGGATTAATGATTATTTGGATAAATATAAATTTGAAATACATAAGAAATAAACATTTTTGAAATAAATACACTAAACACGCATCAACACTTTGAAAGTAATGAATTATTTAGGACTTATTTTTAGATATAAAATTGCATAGCATACATTTCACTGCTTCAGTATTATTACTAACTCAAGTAAATACTACAGTTAATAATTATGTAAGGTTTTTGAAGTTAAATATCTATGTACATCCTATGGATCATTTCATATAATGAATCCATCTATCCTATAGATAATTTAAATTACATTAAATTATGTTGACTATCAACAAAATCCTTACTAAAAATCTGTAATAGTCTATAGATTATTTGTTATTTATAATTGAAATAAGTGTTTACATTATAAACAATTACAAATATATGAAGTTTATATTAAAAATTTACAATAAAAAGTAAAAACTAATTATTCATTTTTTGATTAAATCATATGATTACCTGTAATTTGGCTTCTGTATAATTTTTTAACTGCTTTTGAGGACTTATAGCTGCTAATGGTAAGACCTCTTTTGGTTGTTCTTGTCCAGAGGCATGACCAAATAATTTTTTCCTAGCTAATTTATCAGCTTCAATTTGAGCTTTTACTCGATCACGTGCTATTTTTTCTTCTAGTTTTTCACGTTTCCTTTCATTCATCATTTTTTTTATGTTTTCATCTTCAAGCCTAAAAAAATAAGTTTAAAAAAAAATCATATAATTGGATAAACAATTTTACTTTTTTTTGGCAGCTAAAATTTCCTTTCCGGATCGAATTCGAACTTTTTCTCTTTCTAATTCTTCTTCTTTTTCTTTGGCCTCTCGTTCCTTACGTTTTTCCTTTAAACGTTCCTCTAATTTTTTCATTTGCTCTTTTTTTTCTTCTTCAGTCAATGGTTTTTTTTCTTCGGTTGACTCTGAAAAGTTACTATGGCCAGATTTCATAGCATGATATTCTAATGCAGATGTATCAGAAAATATCTTCTTACAGCTAGAAATAAAATTGTTTATTATAACAAACAGTAAAGTTTATAAGTAATTATAATCCAAAAATTGGTAAACAATATATGATTTAGTTGTGTATTAACAAAATAATTTAAATAATCAACTTACTCTTCACATTTGTATGATTTAGCTACTAATGAAGACGAAGTACTAGTTTCAGAAGTAGTATTTGGTGCAGAACTTGCTTGAGAAGTTGATGGTTCCATTTCATCACTATGTGCTAGTAACCTAATAAAAAAATAATCCATATTTTAACAAAAAAAAAAAAATATCAGTTTTTATACATCCTTGAGTGAATTGATTTTATTATTACAAATATAATTAAGATGAAATGTATTCAACATTTAAATGCCTATCTTCAGATATGCTGTTTAGTATTTATTGGCAGTGATGGTATCATAGGCGTAAACTGAGGGGGGCAGAGGGGAAAATTACCTACCTGGAATAAATAAGGAGGGGCAGTGCCCCCTCTGATATTTAAATTGTTTTAAAATAAGTACAAAATTACTATATACTATATATACTATATTACATTTTTTTAAATCTTAATTTTAAATTTTCGCTTATCGAACATAATGTTAGAAAATGAATAATTTTGTATAATAATATGTAGGTAGTAAAGCGGCATTTAGCCGCGGACAGAGTTGGACTAGGCCACCGGGGCATGCCCCAGTGGGCTGCTGTAAATTTGGTTAAATAAAATTACTTAGATTTTATGTTTTTAATTTAATGCGTCTATCTTCTATTCTTAAAATAAAATAAAAAATATCGCCTTGTAACATGACATTACTAATGGATGCGGTGACTCAGGATTAAAAAACTCGGAGTTTGAAAATTAAACATATTTAATGTCGCGATAGGCCAATTGATAAAAATGATTTCATCACAATATTTATAATACAAAAATTGTAGGAAATTTGAATACAAAAGATGTGTACAATATGTTAATCATATGACGTACCATTCGTGTTTGTTCAAACAACATTTAACCAAAAGAAAATGATTGTATGGGTAGACACGGTCGTACAAGATATGCTATAACAAAATGGTTTTTCGATAATAATAATTTTTATAAGATTTATTAGATTTTTATTTAAAAACATTTTAATTGTTTTGACATTCAGTCAATAACAAGTCTGTTACTAGTTTCCAACCTTTCTGTTGACTTCAAGTCAATTATTACCGGTAAACAATTATATTATTAAAAACAATATGTTCTAATTCAGTGGTTGGCAACCTTTATGGACCTTTGAGCCAAATTCACAAATGAAAAATGGTTCTAGGGTCAGACAATATTAAAAATTTATATGATATTCAATGACTTTGCTAGTTTTGAAATTTAGTGCGGGCTACATAAAAGATCCATTAGTTGCCGACCCCACTGTTCTTACTCAATTAAAATTAAATATATAAACATATTTAAATCAAATCATTTTTTATGGTGTAAAATGTATCTTAATAAGTAGGTCATTATATCAATATTACAGATATATTCAATTAATAATATATATATCAATATATTATGCGTATACTAGATTTATTTAAGGAATAACATTGAATCTGAAAATATATAAATGTACTTGTGTATATTTTTTTTTGAGTTATGAAGATACATTTTCAGTTAAACAATAATTTGATTAGGTACCTACTAATTCCATTTATTATTGTACTAATTGTTCCATTGAGGCCTTTTGAAATTATTTTGCCCGGGCCAAGCTATAAAGCTAGTCCAACCTTGGCCACGGATACCTTTTTTGTTAGATATGTAATTATATATTTGCCCCCCCCCCAATAAATTTCCAAGTTAAGCCCATGGACGGTATCATATTAGATCGATAAATATATATTTAATCGTTTAAATTTTTAAATTAATAAGGTTTGTTATGTTTATTGTTGTTTTGTATTTTTATTATTTGGGATTGAGAACTATGATTTTTTTATTCTTGTTTATAATATACGCAACATAGGAATTTTTATTTCTAACGATTGATCCATTAATGTCTAAAAGATTTTAAAAACTAATTTGAATATGACATTAAGTTTACTTTAGATCAACTTTCCAACATTTTTATCACAACAATTGATATATGAACTAGAAATAGAAAAGGTCTACATTTTTATATTGTGCATGTTATAAAAAATCCTAAAGCTGTCTTAATATTTAGTAAATAATATAATGAAAAATAAGAATCTTTAACCTTAAATAAATCATAGAAACCTAATAAATAATTTCATGATATTTATTGAAAATTTATTTAAAAAATTATACTGTCAATTATTAGTGTAATTATTATAAAAACTTTTGTTTCCATTACTATCAATCTCCTATTTTCTATATTCTAAACAGTTTTTATAAATTCTTGTCATCTTATTCTATCAAAATGTCCTTTTACAGCATCCTAGGTTAAGAATTCAAAATAGTACAGTAAATTATTTATTTTAAATTCTTTTTAGATTTATATACCCTTATGTAGTTGATGGCTCATAGTTTTATCAACTCTACATAAAAAAGCTTAAAAAAGACTTATTCGTATTAAATTGGTAGTATTAATACAATTATACAACAATCTTACCACTCCATAGCAGGTTCAACACCTTGATTTCCAGTCATTGAAACACTTTTTTCACTATAACAAAATATTTTATGAAAATAACATAATTTAAAATGTAGAATAGTCTTAAACTTACGCTTTTTCTTTTTGAAAACCCATGTCCATAAGCATTTGTATCGTTTCCTGCGACATGGTGATAAATTATTGAAGAATATTAATGAAGTTTGCAAATAATTAAAAAATGAATTTTAATCAGAATGACAATTTAATTTTAAATAGTTAATAATTTCTTTAATACAAAACCAATATCTAAACCGATATCAATAGTACATGAGAAATATTTTGATCAATATTTCGTTTCCGTAAAAAGTTGGTCAGAATTCATCAAGAAATATAATTTAGTTGGATTTTCGTATTTAGCTTCATACTTATTAATATTTTAAGCATGATGGTAGATTGTTATCATAGCTTACCAAGGTATTAAAAAAGACAATGTTATCAGTTATCAATTGACCATAATTCTATAGGTAACCTAAAAAAATTTGTTTACAGTTCATTTTATTTTTTCTTTGTGTTATACGTATACTTATGTAGTGTTTCATTCAGGACATTTTTGGTTTTGTTTCCATATTTTTTTATTTTTACAATTTCATGCGTCCATGTTTAAAATTATTTTTTGCTATTACTTTATAACGAGGTACAATTATTTATTTATTATTTCTTTTTAGATATAATTTATTTTATCTTACACATTTTTGTATTGTTAAACATAACTTATTATGTAACCCTATTTGGTAAGACATTTTTATTAACTCTATTGATATTGTTAGTTATTAAACATTAACACATTTTAATCAACTATTACTACAGATTGTTGGAAAAGACATGAAAAAATTAAAAATGATCACTCAGACAATTATTTCCAAGTATTCTTAAATATAATTGTAATACTTAACTGTTTATAGAATAATTGTTGAATTCTGCAACAATGAGTAGTGTAAAATATTCTAATATTTATTTGTTAATAATATACATATTCTATATATTTTTAATACATACTGTAACATTTAAATGCTACTGAAAGATATATTATGTTTTATTCAAGTAGTAATTATTTTGTACTACTATATTTAAAGAGTAATTTTATTTTTCGAATTGTTAAAACAAATATTCACTATTAAATTAGTTACTTCTGTTGCTTTTCGGTGTTTTATAATGTTAGTGTTTCTGCAGATTTTATTGTGACTAGGGCATGCACAAGGAGAACATCTTTCATTCTAATAAATGATAACATTTTAAGCTCTTCATTAACATTACTGATTTTTTTTAGATTCATCGCATCTTTTACACTAGGTATAATTTGTTTTTCATTAATAACATGTTAAACTATTTATATTATGCCATTACTTTTATATTTTTTAGAACTAGACATATTACTAAACCAACTTTATATGTTTAAAATGTTTGTCTTAACTGTACTCACTTTTACCCTTTTATTAGCTAATATCATATCATGATTACTTATACTGTCAATCAGTGGTTCTCAACGGGGGCGATATCACCCCTCAGTGGGTGGTGAAGTATTACTGGGGGGCGATGAACTAGTTTTGGGTGGTAGAAGGGCGGCAAGCGTGTTCACTCAAAAACGTTGTACATGGTGTGACCTAAAAATAATTCATACTTGATAATCCATATAATAACTATTAGTTACTAATAGGTACTATATGTTGAGCAATGCACAATAACATATCTTTCAATGTTGATAAATTTATTTTTCTTTATTATTTTACCGATTGTGCATAAACAATAAAAGCAATATTTATTATTTGATTTTAAAATATTTTTTAAAAGTAATATTTTTTCTAAATAAACTAAAAATGTATTTATTACTATAAAATAAAATTGATAAATTATTTTCAAATGTTTAATTTAATTAATTTACTAGTACTATAATTAAAAAAATATGAAAAATAAAACATAAATGAAAACATTAGTTATGAGATAATTATTGAAATTTTTTTTCAAATTTCCTAAACCATCAACTTCTTTCCCATCTCTCAGCCCATACTATTAGTTATAGAATTTTCACATAGGGAGGCGTTAAAGAATTGATTCCTACTCAAGGGGGCGGTAACATAAAAAAGGTTGAGAAACACTGCTATAAATGAATGCATAGATTATGTCATTATCTATATTTAACACTTGACATTATTAATATATAATAGGATTATTGTTATTATTTAAAGATTTCAAACATTACCATTCTTTTAAATGGCCTTTGAAATTAAAAATCCTGGAAAACCAAGACAAGTGAGGGGTACTAATGCATACAAATATCGAAATTTATTTGTATTTGGTGTATTTGCTTTCAGTGGACTTTCTTGGTTCTTATTTGAGTGAGTTTATTTCATACTTATGTTTAACAATAGTCGAATTTTTAAAATAGTATAATATATAAATATTATAGAAATGTATTAAATAAATTATATAATGTTTATACCTTCAATCAGGGATTATTTTTAATGGATAACTTATATTAGACAAAATCTAATTACTTGGATAAATATTAACTCATTCAATTTTTCAAGAGAAATTAATGTTGATAATAAATTATTTAGTATTAATACAGTTTTCATGATTATTGTTATACTTTAAAATAGCATTTAAAATTTATTCATGAGTCCATAATTTATCTCTAAATTTGTAAACTATTGTTAAAGGGTTATGTTAATGTTATAAGATCCATGTAATTTTGTCCCCCATTATTTTATTAAAATATAATATTAATATTAAGAGTAATTTATACTTAGATTTTACGACTGATATTGAAATTTTTTCACTATTTTCAGTTATTACCATAAGGTGGATAGGTGGATATTGTCTACTCTATGTTGAAGTATTAATATTCTGAGAATATCCAAGAATGTTATGGTTTCATATTATATTTTTCTCTGTCCTTTTTAATTTTTATAGAGATATGAATATTTACCAACAATTTCATGACATATATTTTATAATTTTATAGATATTAAATTGGGCATATAAGGTTTATCTTTTTTTATAAAAAATAATAAAAATGATAATTAATTAAAATTGTTTATACCATCAAACTTTTTTTTAATTTTTTTTTTTATTATTAGCTTCTAGTGTACAACTATGATATAATTAAACTTAATCTATTGTATTTTATGCTATATTAATATTCAGTCTTGTTAAATGGTTTTATTGTAATTTGTAGTATGACAAAATGTATTGTTATTATTAGTATTACAGATAATATTAAATACTTATGTACATTTTATATGCTATACCAACCTTAATTTAAAATTATTATTAAAGTATGATAATTTATCTTGGTTTCCATATTTAAACGTATGATATTTGTAACTAGTAAAATATTTTTACCATAACATCCAACTTGTTTTCTGTATTGCCACTATATACAACAACTATATTCATCTAATCTAAAGTAGGTAGAATAATTCAGATTTAATATTTAGAAATTTATTCATCACATGATTTCAACCATTAAACTAATATTAAACTGATAGCCTTCACTTAATATATTATTAGTTATTTAAATTATTAACTCATAGTTCAGTTATCCAAAACTTTGCCAAGATTCAGTAATATTATTAAAGCTAAATATTAGTATTTTAACTTGAAATAGTGTTAAGTATTATGTTATATAACCCAAACAATTAATTAAAATGTTAAATTTTTTTTTTTTTTTCATAGACAACTACCGACTACAAAAAGATTAAAAGAAAAAATTTACAGTGGTTATTGGGATAGAACACCAGAAGATAATTATAGATTAGAAATGATAAAACGTAATTTGAATCCTGATATGAAAGATCTTATGGCCAAAAGAGCTGAACTGTCAAAAAAAGAGCCTATTGTACCAATAAAAGTTTAATTTATATGTTTTAGTTAATATGTATATATAGTAGATATATAAAATATATCTTAACCTTAAAAGTTATAAATATTATTAACACAAAATGAATCCATTTTCACAATCCAAATTAACATTAAAATTAAAAAAGCAAACTAGTTCAATATCTACAGATCATACAAAGTAAATAATAACCTTAATTATTATTATATAATGTCAATATATATAATAACAATTTTAAATTAAATTTTTTCAGGAAATGTGAAAATTCAGAAATAAGTGAATCTTTAAATTCTAAATGCTTATTAAGTAACAGTGTAGCATCTGAAAATGATAGTTTTGTTGAAATATTGCATACACAATCACATAATGAAAAAAATCCCATGTCCAAGACATCTCTCTTAGATCAAAATATATCTAATAAAATAAACAAAAATAAACAATGTCCAATTTGTTTTCATATGTTAGATGATAAAAGTTTTACTAATCATGTTAAATCTTGTGCAGCATCGCATAATTTGTCATCAAAAATACTTATTGAAGCATTGAATCTTCATGAACGTCAAGTTGCTGAAAGACTAGCATTAGGATTACCCAAATGTAATACAAATCAAGATATAAAAAAAAAAAGATGTCACATTAATAAGCAATCAAAGTCAAAGGTATATTTCATATTATATTTATAAACATTTTAGTTATTGTTTTTGTATTTTAGATTGGAAGTGATTCTAATTTGGACTTAGCTATAGCTATGTCGGTATCACTCCAAGAATCTAAAGAAGCTGAAATTATAAAAGAATCTGAAACACTTTTAGAAGCTGGCTTAGAAGAAGAAGCAATGTATAAAAGAAAAACACTGGAAAATTTTGGTTTTGTATCAACACAACCTGTTAAATCTAAATCTAAAATTTGTAAGTATTCATCACTCCATACATATTTGATGGTTTTTAAGTTATTTTTTGGCTGAATATTGCTAACCAAATCAATTATTGACTTATCATTATTTTTTTAATGTTACCTACATAATATCTAGTTAATACTGATATTAGCTAATTTTATAAAACCAATCATTTATTTATACGAGTATAATATTTATAATAATTAAAACTAAATACTGGTATATATATTTATTAATTTTTAATTACAACAAAAATTAAATTGTTATAAGAATTTAATATCAAATTTTATATTAGTCTTTGTCAAGATTTCAAGATTTAAAAATCTTATTACTAATTCATATATATATATATATATATATATATATTATTTATTTAAAATTAAATTTTTACAGCTTCTAAAACAAATTCATTGTTGTTTAAACAAACTAAAGAAGATCGTGAAAAGAGAATTACTGAAAAAGTAGCAATGATTCTTATTGATTCTGATATTGATACTTCATTGTCTCAAACTCTTATAAATTATAGTTCTACTTCAAAACTAGGATCAACATATTTGAATAAAATAAGAAATATTGTAAGTTTAATTTTTTATAATAATTAATAATAAAATAATTTACTATTTGTAGTAAATATTTGAGATACTATATAAATATTATACTACTTGAGTACTATTTGAGTTGGATTAGTATATTATAACATTAAATTAAATATTTGATATAATTAAATGTATCTTCAACTTCAAACAGTTACTAGTTATTTATAATTATATATATGTATATAATACTAGTTGCTTATATATTTCTTCTAAACAATTTAAAAAATTAAAAAATAGGTATGATTAGATAAAATTATTTTTTTTTATTATTCTAGGACAATAAACTTTGGAAAAAATCACTGCTTGATACAAAAAGTGACAAAGAATTTTATGTGAGTAATCTATCAAAGTTCATCAAACCTTGTGAAATTAATCATTTTTTAGTAAGTAGTATACAAAAACACTTAAAATAAACATAACCTAAAGATATCATTGGCAATTGGGTTTATACAAGGTGGAGAACAATTATTCATGTAAATTAACCTACTAGTACTTAAAATTTTTTAGTAAAATAAATTAAACAATTTGTTTATTAAAATTAACAACTTATGTACAACAAATTAAAGAAAACTTTTTGATCACAAATTATGTTTATAAAATAATATTCAATATATTAAACAATTATGGCTATATCCCATAAGCACAAAATATAACCCAAAAGCTCAAAAATAAATAACCTATAAGCTTAAAAAAAATTACCTTTTAACAACCCATAAAGCGAAAATCAATTTTTTAAAAAGAAAGTGTACTTTGTTAAAATCATATAATTATTAAGCTTTTAGTAATCATAACCTGTATTTGTATTGGTTAATGTAAATTACATTTTAGTGGTTAATTTTTGAATTATATTTCGTAAACTTAAACGCATGTATAAATACTAACAGATATAATACATAAGTGATTATCTATTAATATACGATTTAAAACATTTAGCTCAAATTTAAATTTTCAATTAAAAATAAATTGAAAGACATATAACAATCTTTATAGTTTTAATGTATATCCATTATCAAGTCAAATCCTATTTAATATAAGTTTATAGTATATATAATGTATCTCTATGTAGTATTTAGTATAATGTAGTTATCTTAAATGATTATCAACCTTCACCGTAATTTGTTATTATAAAGTACAATACAATAATACTAAACTTCAACAGAACACGATCACTGTTGATGTAGTTTTGAATTATAAAAATACTATATATTTTATTAAAAACAATAATTTAATTTAATTATTAATTATCTGGAAATGAAACTTATAGTTTAACGAGTGCAATATTTCTTTTCGCGCTTTTATTCCACTACTAAGGTCCAAAAACGCAAAATGAATTTGCACTTTTGGTCTATTGAAAAATATAGACAATTTGAGCTTTTGGGTTTCACCGACAATTATATTTTTAAATTTAATTTTTTTTATCAATTATTTTATAATATCTTTGTTGAAATTTGACTATTTATTCGTAATATTCTTTTTAACAGTCAGAGTCACTAATGTTTTTACTTTTTCTTTTGTCCATGTATTTCAAAGAAATTTATTTTTATTATTTCACTAGTCAAAAATAACATTCCCATTTCTACTATATTGGAATTATGACAATGATTTTTATAAGTTTATAAAAAGTTTAAAGTTTATTCTTGCTTTTTTTATATTTTTTTTTAATTTAGTATTTGCATTATTAATTTCAATATAATAAGTTGTTCAGTTTTTTGCAATCCACTAAAATATCATATTAAGAAATGAAAAAAATTAATCCCAAATATTAATATAATATAAATAAATTAAATAAATAATTATGATAATATTAAATATATTTTAATTTAATTTAATTTAGTTTTATAAATTTAATTTTTAAAATCATGTTTTTAAAAATAATAAGTTACTGTTTTATAATTTAATTTTATGTAACTATATTGAAAGCATAAGTATAACATATTTCAATGGTTTTTAATACATTAACTTCTAGGCCCATTCATGATACTCATTTTACTGTTTTAAAATATTTTTATAATTTTAAAATAATTTTTTTTTTAATTTTGATGTTTTTAAATTATTTTAATTAGTAATTATAGGTTATTTAATTATGATTTAGTTAGTAATATAATTATTTTGGGTATAAACATGGTTTTGTACAATCCCTTAATATAATTAAAAAAATTGTATTTAATGATTTTTTTTTTATTAATTTGATGAAATGTTTGTAATATTTTTATATTTTGCTTAGGAATCAAACACTGATAACAAGGAACTCATTGATACATTAAATACAGTTAAAGATAATTTAAACTTAAATAGTGTACCTATTAAGTCTAATAATATAATTGAAAAGAAAATATTATCTGACTATTCTGCAAAATGGAAATCAATGGTAGGCAATCAATTTATGAGTGATATAACTGTATTTGTCAAAGATGAACATAAAATTCCAGCTCACTCTCTGGTGCTTTATGTTCAGTGTCCTGATATATTGGATGATGTTATTATAGAAGAATCAGATACAAGTAAATCAAAAAAAATGCTTATGTGGTTAGAATACTCATATGAAGCAACCTTAGCATTCTTAAAATTGATTTATTCTGGTCAGGAGTCATCAGTTAGTCTTGAAAATAGAAAAGATTATTTACTCTTGGGAACAAGGTATAATATTGTCATAGCTATAAATAATGATGAGAACCTTGAATGGTTTTCTGAAGAACACTGTGAAACGTCAAAACGTAAGAATGAAGACGGTGATTCAACTAACTATAAAAGATATAAAGCTTCTAGTCCTGATATGTTTACATCAAATGATATAAGTGTTGACAACTATACAAATACTAATTTTTTAGGAAAATTTGTGAATGATGAAAAATCATCAAGTGTTTTGAAAACTCAACAGTGGTTGGATAGTTGTTACGGTAGTAGTTCTCAAAATCATTTATCATTCACAGAAAACTTAAACATTGATATTCCACCACTAACTGTGTCAGCTGAAAAAAGTCCAAGCCATTCTATTCATAGTGCTTTGACTGTGTGCTTACCATTAAATTCTCCATCTAACTATTCTGATGTTGATGATCATAATAATTATCTACCACCTGATATTAGTAGTGCATCACCTAAATCAGTATCATCAAACGGATCAAGTGTAAAAGCAATATTAGTATTGAATACAACCAAAGATATCCCTAGTACTTCAACACCTTTAGCAAAAATATCAACTCTAAAAATTCCTAAGAAACAACCAGAAATAATTACAATTAATAGTGATAGTGATAGTGGATCAGTTGATATGATTTTGTCTAATAACATGATAACATATCGGAAAAGTAACATTTTTAAGAAAAATTATAGTACATTTTTATCAAATTTTAAAACAACTAATGAAAAAAAAAATTTTATTCCTAAACCAATTAATATTAATATTGATCATGGAAAAAATATAGATACCATTGAGTTAAATGATGATAGTTCAGATTCAATTCACTCTGCATGTACAAATGTTTTATATCAAGGAAACTTAAATACAAATCCAATTCAACCTTTAGGTCGTGTTTCGTCTGCATCAAATCTCAGAACTGATATTATTAATATTGATGATGAAAACAGTGTCTTTTCTGCTGCTACCAATTTATTGCACTTTAATAATAGTTTGAATACCCAAGTATTATCTAATAACAATAATAATTTCATAGACTTAGTGGAAGATAGTTCAGATTCGTTGTCTACAATAAATAGAACAGGCTTATTTAAAGATAATGCTTTATTAAATCCCATATGTTTGAGTAATGATCAACATAATAAAAATTCTACATCATTTTCAAATGTAAATAACTTTAAAATGAAAACATCTTGTCAATTTAATTTAAAAACTGATAATTTAACTCAAAATCCATCATGTTCTACATCTACTATTACTAATGTTAAATCAGATAAAAATTTTGATTTGGATCCAGCAAATTCTTCCAACAATAGAATTTTACCTGAGAGTAATGATAATTTAAAATATCCTGGGCAATCATTTCAACTCAACAATGTATCAGAATGTTTAAACATTGTAAATTATACACCATTAAATGACATAGAAAACAATAGAAAATATTTGGATGAAAAAAATAAATCACATACAACTAGTTCAGCTTTTGGGCTATTAGAAAATACTATAGAAAACAAAAGTTTAAAATTATTATCAAGTAACCATGGTGATATTCATAAAACCTCAATGGAAATTGCTAATTCTTATGTATCAGGTGATTATATCAATAAATACACTTTAATCAATCCTAATAATATTCAAGATAATCCTAATGAATTATCTAGGATAAATATTGCATGCAAAAAAACTTTGTCGTATGAAAATGAACTTGAAAAAGATCAATCAATTTTTGAACAAATAATTGATGATCCGTGGGTGAGTTATTTGCAATCAGTTGATAATAGTCCTCAATATATTTTATCAAACACTTTAATGTCAACTAATGAATCAGAAGTACAAACACTTAATGGAAAAAATATTCATCCCACATGTTTAAATTTACAAATATCACCTACCACCAATTCTAATGGATCTACAATAAATTACCAAAATAATAATGCTTTGACGCCAAATAAATATGATAGTAGAATGAACACTCCAAAAAGCTTACATAGAATTATATCAGAATCTATCATAGGATCTAATGAACAAGTAACTCCGTTGCCAGATTTCAGTTCTATGGAAACTCCAGATTTTAGAGTAAGTATTAAAAACATTTAATATTTATTTAATGTTTAAATTCAAAAGTTAGCATTTTAATCAGTAAATAATATATTCATATTATTTATTCATTATAGGAAAAATAAATGTATATTCTATTTAGTTTCATGTGATAAATGATTACTTCAAAAGTTGTAAACAGTATCTCTTTTTGAGAAATTAATTTCATGTGTATTAAATATAGTTATTCTTTTTCAATATTGTGTGTACTATAATGTTTATTAGCATATTAAATTTGGTAGTGATGTTAAGTTGTGAAATAAAAATTATTCATAATATCAATATTAAAATATAGCCTTATACAATACATATATTTACAATTATACTATTTTGCCTTTGGTAATATAAAAATAATTATATTATGGATACTATAACACTTGCTTCAGTTTCACTATATTCATTTACAAAAGAAGAAAAAAAATTATAACGAATATATCTCTTAAGCATTTCAACTTATACATAGGTTTTGTGTGAAGGGAGGTGAATTATAAAAAATAACATTACAACCTGATTATTGTTGTCATGTATATAACTATATTTAAAAATAAATATGCTCCAAATTTATGAAAAAATTCAAAATTCAATAAATAATTTTTTTATCTCAATAAAACATTTAATGTTTTAAACTAAATAAATATGTTATGTTAATATCATTTTAAAATACATTTAAAATATTTACTTTTGTATATTTTAAGAAAATTTAAAAATGTAATACAAATTAAAATAAATTTCTTACAACTTTAGAAACAATTTGATCGTTATGGTCTTAAAGATCTTGGAAAATCCAAAGGAAAATTATTATTGAGGCATATTTATAATTTACTTCATCCTTCAGTTGTTTCTGAGATAGATAAATGGAACTTAGAGCTTGAAAGTTATTCAGATTCCTCAGATAGGTAAGTTGTGAGACTTTAATTAGTATTGTCATCATTATTATTAATTATGGTTTTGTACAAAATTCTTATATACTATTTAGTTCAGAACATGGAATTCCTGATTATGAAGATGAAAATGATGACGAATTAGAAACTTTTAGTCAAATCAATTTATCAAACAAAAGTAAGTTTTCTAACACTTTTAATTATAATTTTTAAGTATTGTATTATGTTGAGAAATGTATTTTATTATATTTTTTTAAATTATGAGTTAATTACCAAAAAAATATAAATTACCATAATCATAATATGTGTGTGTTGTTTTTATTTTATTTTTTCATTATACTAAAATCTTGGATTTTGGGTTAGTTGGAAAGAATGATTAGAATAGTTTAATTTTTCGAAATGAACAAATTCTGAAAAATGTGCTAAAGTAATCAATTTTGACTTAAAAAAATTTAGTATTGATTAGTGTAGACTCATTATTTGACATTCCTACTTATTTTAGCTTCAGTAGAAATTGGTTTTAAACAATTGCTCAAAGTCAATGAAAGTCTTCATAAAAAGATTTTGTGTTATGAACCTATTTGGATAGAAGAACTAAAAGAAGAGTTAAAACAATTAAATGTTAACATAAGTTTACAAAAACTCACAACTTTTTTGGATGATAAAGTAAAGTTTATTATTTTATTATGAATTATAATTATTGTCTGTAAATTAATATATTTTATATTTTTAGTGTATTACATTTCGTTCAAAGTCAATTAATGATCAAAAACAAAAAACACTAGCAAAAAAAAACACTAAGAGAAAAAAATTATTTTAATTTTATTTAAATTGTTGTTAAATTTTTTTTTTTTTATACATATATATTATGTTCAGTAGATTTGAATTGTGTCATTTTGGTATTATAATAATATTAATACTGATTAATTTTATCAATTGTGTTGTTGATTTTAGTTTAACCTATTTTGTCATCTTAATTTTATATTATGAAGTTAACAGATTTGTAAAGCTTTTTACAGTATTTTATTCCTCTACATTATTCTCAATGTAGTGAAAACCATTTATAATTATATTAAGCTTGAATACAATTATGGTTATCAGCTGTAAGAAAGCCATTCATATTTCGTTTTCTTTGTTAAAAACATTTTGTCACATGACAGAGACAGTTTCACTACTGAAAAACTTATAAAATACATGGTAGTTAATTATTTTTTTAATTTAATTAATTTTATTTATTCGGTTTTATAATTAATTCATGTTAATTTTTGGTCATGCTTTTTTGCTTTTTTTAAAGATAAATTTTCTTAATTTTTACTTTTTTAAGACAATTTTTTCCTTTTTTGGTTATTTATTATGCTTTAAAATCCGAGCCCTATATATTACCTTTAACCAGTGGTGTATTGGTAAATATATTTGTGGGTATACGCACTAAAAATATGTGGATATTAATCCTAAAATAAATTTTCTTGCTTTGCTCGACAATTGTTTTCTCTCGATACGTTTGAATAAATGTAATTAATCCTTTGTAACTATATTTTTATAACTTCTATTATGACTATAAAATATAACATCACAAGATATACATTTGTAGCGCGTTATAAATTGCATGATTCAAATTGAAGAACCATAGGTTGAATGTTCACACTATATACTATTTTATTCAATGTTATTCACTACAGTTAACAAAATACAGCGTACACTGTAATCTCCAACAGCTAAATATTTCAATCAATTTCATGGTTCATAACAATTTTTTCCAATGAACTATTAAATTATTAGTTTTTTTGTTTTCGAGTTATTTTAGAAGCGTATACCCGTAAAATAATATTTTACATTAGGTTTACGCCGAAAATTGAAAATCTGTTGATGTGTATACGTCGTACATCCGCGTATACGTACCAATACACCCATGCCTTTAACGAAATTTTCTTTTGTAATTCTCATAACTCATAACTAAAGACCGGATTTAATTGATATTGAAACTTTTTATTGATACCCGGTAAAACAAATTTGTATATAAATCAGATTAATTACAGTTTTTCTATTGAATTTAATAAAGCAATTTTTTTGCAATTTTCAACTATTTTGCAATTTTTATATTCTTCACGTAATAAAATATACAAATTATTATTTCCAAAGTGATTTTCCAAAAAAAATACAATTACGATAAAAATTTTTACATGTAATTAAATGTAGTTTAGGATTTTTAAAATTATATTTATTTGAGTTATCCACAAGACTCACAAGTTTTGAAGAATCAAGTAGTCAATTACTTAACGGTTTAAACATATTTAGGGAAATTGAAAATATTTCTATAAATATTCCTTCTCCCATTGGAAAAAAGTTAAAGATAAATTAAAATATGTCTTAGAAAAAAATTAAGGATGTAAAACTATTAAAACTTACTCTGAGATTATGACATGAAATCAAAATGTTTATTTAGATAAAACACCAATTTTTTTAAATTATTTTAAATATGCATCGATAACAAGAGTGGATGTTGAACTACATTTTCATTATATAAACATATTTTAAGTAACAGATAATACAATTTTCAAGAACACACTTTTGAGATGTATATAATTATAAATTTTAATTTAGATAAATTATACATTTTGTAAATATTATAATAATGTCCATAATATTATTTAAGTAAGTAATTAATGATTATTTATTTGATATGATTTTACTATGTAATTTTAATGTATATTTCATTGTAGTTTTAAGATATTTTTAATGCAATTATATCTGGTCTTTACTCATAACTTATCAATAAAGCAATCATATTTTTTGTGTAATAACAATAAAATGCACATACCTCGTAAAATATGTATTTATTGTCAATTTATAACTTATGTATGGTGTACTACTAATATTTCATCGGTGTTCAAAGAAATTATTTTTGATGAAGCCATACGGATTCCGCGCCGGCAATATCCGATGTATTTTCAGAAAGCACATTTTTAAATTTTAATTGGTAATGCTTATTTGTATATTATTAGTTGATAAATTTATTGATGTTTTAAACATGCTTTTTATATATATTTTATTTAGATTACCTAGTAATTTAAGTCAATTTTACCAAAATAACTATGTTCCAAATCTATTTTACTAATAGTTATTCTTCGATGACAATTTCTTTTATGTTTCAACCGTTAAGCAGCCTGGTCGTGACTATTTAATAAGGGGCAAAATTTAGGCAATTTGTAATCTTGCCGTCGATGTCCGGTATATTTGTGTTAGTCGTAAATGAGTATTAGTGTGAGTGCGGTTTGCCATGTGTACCGCTAACCAACCACTCTGTCATAGACAAACCGTTATCGCAAATTTATAAATATAATTATTGTGTTATCCGTTTGTGCCTCGTTTTTTCCAATATAATTTATTATTGTTATACTCGTGTTCTTGATTTACTGGTTTTTAATTTTTTTTTACAATTAAAATTTTAAAGATGGACCATATAAAATATAATAATAAAAAAAAAAACTGTATCAGTGTACAGTAAATACTAAGGAGGGAAAAAGTCACGGTAAGTTTCAAGTTCATAAGATATGAATAAAACTGTAAAAGAATGTTACTATATACTGATACGATTACTTTGATCGGTAATAATTGAACACATGACATTTCGACAGTATACATTAAATAGGTGCATGCAATAATTTGGCAAATACATGAAATATATTCATATTGTTGTAATTTAAAGGAACAATTTCAACAATATGACATTCTTATATATATTTAAGCAGTGCCGTATTTAGACATTTTGCGCCCCGGCTCAAAAAAAAAAAAAATGGGCGCCCCTCTAAGAAGCCTATCCACGGAAAATATAAGAGATAGATCCTCGTGACCTTTTAGATATTCTAAAATCAATGCTATTTTTGTGTAGTAGGCATGTCACCGCACGCCGCACGCGATAACATAATACGCCTTATTATTATAAATAATTTATGTTTATTGATATTATCACAACAAATTTTGGAACTAATATTAGGTATATTAATAATATTCTGGATCACCGATAGCTGTATTACTATAAATACATTAATAATATATATTAATGAATTAATTACATAAACACTAATTTATGATACTCTTATTAAAAACAAAAAAAAATAATGATTTCAAAATAATTTTAAAAGTTCAATAATTCACAAGTGAGTAAATTTCTGACCACAAAATGTTGGCGCCCCAAAAAACTGGCACCCGGAGCAGTTGTAGACAGTACTCCCCCCATAAATGCGGCCCTGTATATAGGTTTATTAATTTATTAATTTATTGTTTATAGAAATCTATGTTCATGCTATTATAAAACTAAAGATATACTATGATTATATTTCGAACCATCATCGACGATAAACAATTTTACAAGTGCATGGGCGTACACTTCAAAGCTATGCGTAATTGGTACCGTATTAATTTTCGTCTATAACAATCCGTTTCCTGAGAAAACCACATGACCAAAAGGGTTGTGATTTGCGTACTGGGACTATATTATTTTTATTTATAGACAAAGTGATATTCCTAATACCATTGATTATAAATACATATAAATTATAGTATTTATAATTAATGATAATACATAATTTGTGGGGCCTTATACAAGCGCGGAGTCTGGTGCGATCGCATCACTTGCCCCCTCTAGGGTCGGCACTATATAAATATATACATATAATGTATTATTTACAATATATAATGAGGCCTTTTATTAAGTAAATGTTTAATTTATATACAATATAGAAAATTATATTTCTACTTCTACGAGACAAATAATCCTGGCCAATTTAGAAAAAACGATTTTCAACCAATTAAAACTTGACGATATGAAATTTTTTTAACCTTTAATTTTGCAAATTTTTTTAAGTACACAATTTATATTTATTATTATTTCGCGACTGGTAAATTCATCGATAATTTCTTCATATGAAATTTTTTATTTAAATGTCGCCCATTGAAATTTTCCATGCGTCTAATTAGTAATTTATACACGTCGAAATGCTGAAATCTATATATTGAACATATAAATGTCATTATAATTACTGAATCAAAGTGGCTATTAAATCTATTCAATTAGGAAGTATCTATATAATTTATAATTGTTTAGCCAACGCGTTTAAGATGCACCAGTAGCATCGTTTAGCGGTTCTACTGAAAAGTCCATTCTAAATGCTCAGGATCTAAAGTAAGTATTGTGTTTTGAGTCATATTATTAATACCGTATTAAACTATTCACTTATTTATTTTCTAGTCACGACATTGACCATACAGCAACATCAAAAAACGCCTGCAATAATTTATCGGACGTATTCTGGAGCCAAAGTAAGTACATAACACATACACACTAGTACTTTTAGTTCTTGTAATATTATTTCTTATCCAAGTTGGATATACCCATAAGACAAATCCATTAAATACAAATAATTTAAATTCTAATTATGTTTTAATTACAGATCGATATCTGTAAGATCATATTTAATTTTTATATATCATATTAATATTATTATAATATAATTTAATACTTTAGATCAATTTTAGAAGGTCGCCGTGTGATTGATGTCAATTATGTATTTAGCAAAATCGCAAAAATAAATCATCAACCTTTTGGTTGAACTTTTAATAGTTTGATTTTAACTGGTGAACGAAAAGTTGGGTGGTATAGTGGATTTCTCTATACTTGTGGAATGTGTGACATGAATGAAAAAATAGAATCTGAAAACCCTCATTCATCATTGATGAAGGTTAATTTAGCAGCTGTATTAAGGGCTGTAAATTCAGTATGTCAATGATACTATAATACAACTATCCTTTAGGGGTGTATTATTAGAGCAAGGATGAAAAAAGTTATTTTCTTGGGAGTCCAAAATAAATATTGTTCTATCAGCGCAAAAGCACAATTGATATCCAAAGAACCAAACACACACAAGTGTTTTAAAAACTGGCTTGGAACGTCAACATGTTTAGAGCCAGATATCATCCTGGAGGGTTTTAAAGAAAGTGTATCCATGCACAACTTGATTTATAGCAGGTAAACTTACATGAAAAAAATTACAAGTAAAATAAAAACAATTTATTAATCCTAATGATTTATACTATACAGACTTATTGGTGATGGCGACAGCTCTGTCATAAAAATATTGAATATGGCGAAATCCTATGGACCAACACTTTTAGTAAAAAAAATTGAATGTAAAAACCACATTTTAAGGAATTATATCAACCGGCTAAAAGAAATTACATCAAAGCGTAAGAGTACAAAAGGTATAACAGTTCCTGGTTATCTCCGAAAATTGCTAAGTGACAATAAGCTAAGAATTCAGTAAATATATTATTTTCGGGCATGGGTGCCCACAGGAAATTTATCAGGGGGCATAATTAAATCAAACATCAAAAAGTATATTAAAAAAATGCATTCTTAGCAAACAATGAAATATATCAAAATTATACACACTAGTCGTTATTAAATAAAAACTGAAGTCTTCGCACTTGTTCAATTGCAAACCTTGTTATTAATGTTCAATTAATTTTTTCCAGAGGAGGAGCAAATGCCCCGTCTTGTCCTCCTCCTCCTCTGGGCGCCCATGTTTCGGGTGTTGTCAAAAGTAGTTCTGATAGTTTTTTTTAAATTTTATAATTTAAATATGGATTAACAAATAGATCACTGGAAAAACTTGCCAAACCTCACCCAATATCCAAAATTAGGTTTTTAAAACGTGACATTGAAAATGGGCCCCTTCATGTATTTGGTTGTCACGAAAATTGTGATCCGTAAGTGTATATTGTAATAAAATTAATTACTATTTAGTATTTTTAATTATTTAACCTCATTCGAGTTTAGATATTTCTGTAAGGCTGACACCATTTCCCATAATTCTGTTCCTGAAATGGTGGTGTGCGGGTTGTGGCAGGATATAATTGCTGCAAGAAATTTGGTGGCATTTTACACAGAAAGTTTGATTCATGACTTGAATACCAATTTTGTTGAATCTTATAATAGTGTAGTAACTAAATTTATCGGCGGAAAAAAAGTTAACTATTCCTTGCATAGTAAATTAAAATTATTTAAAATTATTTTTTGTTAATATTTGTAATATGTCTAACGTAATTTTTAGGTTCATATAGTACTCAAAGCATGACTGCCGTATCATCTTTCAATTTAGGTTCAGAATACATACGACGACTCCATAAACAGGCGACAATCCAAAGTCCGGGGAAATGCATTAAATTGTACATTTCAAAATTAACGAAACATAAGATGTACTTAAAATCAAGATCACGTGTTCTAAAAACTAGACTTAATTTTAGAAAAACTAAAACAAAGTATATTGTTTCAATATAATTAAGAACATGACAATAATAAAAGTAAAACAAAATAGTAATAAATTAAAAATATACTTATTGTAGGACACAAAATAAATAATATGCGGGCTCTGATACTGAATATGGTGGTCTGTATAGTGAATTGGGTTATGATGAGCTTCCGTTATCGGTCAAAGAAGTAGAAGAGAAAAAAAATCAAATTTTTTAACTACTTTAACAAAAAGTCCTGAGGAAATTCAAAAAATAGAAAAAGCAACAGTAGATCAGGTAGACTTAAATACTGCATTTTTATACTATAACAATATTATGACAAATTATTTACGTAAAAATTATTTACCTAGGTAAAAAGTGATAATTGTCATAAAGAGCGAAAATTTTGTTTAACTGCCTTTAATTTTGGGCGTGTATGCAAGTTTAGAGTCGGAACTAATAGAACAAATACTGTGAAATACATTTTATACAGTGACGCGTTTACACCAACTACTGCAGCATTAAAGTATGATAAAAAATATATTATCTTTAGTCAAATTTAATTTTCATATTTTTCGTTTGTAGATATACAGTATAAATACAGTATGAGCCTATGGCCAAACAAGCTTTTGAACAAAAATCGGGCTTAAACGTTTTACCGGCCGGTCTGTTTATAGATCAAACACTAAATTTTTTAGCGTGTTCCTCAGACGGGTTGATAGGAGATCTAGACCTACTGGAAATTAAGTGTCCCTATAGCATTAAAGTTATTGAAGTTCTTAAGTTTTTAACATTTAAGTTATTAGTATTAAAGTGTTGAACAAAAAAAAAAAAAAATTAAATTTTTGATGATCAACAATTCAGGCAAGTTACAGTTGAAAATAACTGACGTTTATTACTATCAGATCCAGGGTCAATTACACGTGGCAAACAAACAACACTGTTTTTACGAAGTGTGGACACCAAAAGGTTCAGTATAGTATAATAGATATTATTTATATAGTTATAACTTGTCTACGCCCAGTTGTTTATGAATATACACTTGTAACTTAATTTATTTACAATTAAATTAAATGTTTACATATATTATGTCCAAGAGTGTTTTATAATTTATTTACACGATTGTTGTTTGGCTATTTTTATTTCAGATATTTTTATAGAAAAAATTATAGGCGAAGACGAGTTTTGGAGTACTAAAATGGAAAGTCAATTAATCGATTTCTATAAAAATCATTTATTGAATGAAATAGTTCAGCCTAAAATTATATGTTAGGATTAATTTTTGTACTTATTTCAAAATTATTTGAATATTTTGTTATTTAATGTTTGTCTAGTAAATTGTCATCATAATTCATTATTATTTATTTTGAACATGTAAAGAACTATAAAAGGCTATAATTCATATTTTATATTGTATATATTTTGTATGTATATTATAGGTATTGCATATTTTTTATTCATATTTGTGATTGTGACCGCTTGATTGATAAATGATAATGACAAAAAGTGAAAACCTAATTATTATATTATGTAATAAGTAAAGATAAACCATGGAAAGGATTGCCATTTGTCTAATATCTATCTATAATTACTCTCCCATGATTTGTATACAAGGGAAATTATGTTTAATTGTATACGACGACGTGTGTGGTGTTTATTGTGTATATTATTATATTTTTATTGCGTAGATTTTAGATAATGCATTCCAACATGCACATATTGACTATCCGCTATCAGTATTCAATACCTATACCGTATATAATAAGGTGCAGGTTACGGGGATATTTTGCACGCATGCGCTGCCGATGCGCACATGTCGATAGTATAAACGGATAGAAAAATGTAAGTTTGATTTTTGTTCTAAAAATTTCGGGGGTGGGGGGGTTTGAACCCCCCCTCAGATACGGCCTTGCACAACGACGATTTGAATTACAATATATTTTAATAATTTCTACACAAGTAAAGTTTGGACTTACTTGGATTACTTTAGCCTTTAACAAGAACAAAATAAAAAGTGAAGTCGTTGCATTTGATGAAATAAAATATTTTGTTCCGATGAAGAAACTCTGAATATTAATCAAGCCTGAAAAAAAAAACGTCAACTCCAAATGATTGGATTTAAATTTTGTAAAAAATTTGAGTTGATCAACCTCTTTTCTAGGTTATAATGGAAGTCGATTTTAGAATCACTATTTAACATTCTTAAAAAAGACACTAAAGTAAATATAAAAATTTAAAAAAAATGAGAAACTCAAATAAGATTTGAAGACAATTTTTAAACAAATATCAAAAATCGATTTCTACATTAACCTAGAAAAAAGGTTGATCCACTCAAATCTTTATAGAATTTAACTATGATGATTTTAAGTATGCGTAATCTTGTCAGGTTTTTAGGTCTACAACGTGAAATAAATACGCTGCTTCCAACCGCCTTAACTATTTTAATTTAAATGTAGCAATATATAAAACTTATAATAAAAATGATGTTATTGTTTTATCAATGTTGTTACATTTTGATAGCTGCAAAAAAAGGGGCTAAATGTAGGCAATATTATATACGGACACAAAAAATTTTTTCCTGCCAAGATCCATTCCTCAGTAAACTTCATAATAGTGATAGTAATTATCATCATGTGGACAGCAGACTGTCATACTATTGTAGTGTTTATCGTTTAATATTAAGACAATAACAAAATTAATTAAAAAAAAAAAAAGAATTAAGAATGTATTTTAAAATTATAAATTAACTCTTTTAAAAGAGTGTTTGAAATGCCTAATTGGTTTCTTCGTTCAATCCAACTTCGTACCCATAATTTTTTCGATTTCTTATTTCTTTTTTTTAAATTACCTAATCAAAGAATTGATTACTTCAACAAGAGCTAGTTCGATTGCATCGGTCGAAGTTATATAATTTTTTAACAAATATTTTTACAAAACAAAGTCATTGACTTGAATACAAATCCATTTTTTTTGTTTATTTATCTCAATGTTCCACCTATTATCATAATTCACTACTACCTCCATACGCTGCTCGTGTGAACACATTAAAATTTTTTATTTACTATCACGTATTCTCTTGATAGTAACTATCACCTTTTACCATCATCGTGCGACCACGGTTTTAGATATGTAGTATTATTATATACAAATAAAATAAATAACAAATAACTTTATAATGTCAATATTTATTTAACCCTACAACTCAATAAATTGTAGGTGTACTTATTTTTCTGTGTACCCTATTTTTTTTTTGTTATTTCAAGAATTATTCTAAAATACACAGTTAAAGGTGCGATTCCTTAGAGCGCATCTATTGACGCGCGACCGATGCGGCTGACGCAGCGCGACTTTAATTTTAACTGCTTTTCCTATTTTTAAATGAAACCTATTCCCAACACCGCCGCTCGGCTGTTGCGTCCCTAATCGCGCGAATGACGACCGCTTGCTAGGCGGTCAAAACGCACTAGACGCGCGACCGATTATTGTCGACTTGTTAATTTAATTTACCTATATAATTTTAAAGTGTCTTATGATAAAAATGTAGATTATATACCTGCCGCGCGTCTCTTGCGACTGCGTTTAGTAGTTGTATGGAATACCTACTCAGTCGCGTCGCAAAAATTCAAATCGCACCGCATCAGCCGCGCCCTAAGCAATCGCACCAAGATTATTTAATTTTTTGATGTTAGGATGATGCAGTGTTTGATTCTAGTGGCTAAAGGTGACATGGATGAGAATCACTGGTCTAATACAAGAATGGAGAGAGGCGTTGTATGAATCCCCTTTATATAAATTTTATTATATTAATTTAGTTGTTTGAGAGAAATACCACATTTGTTTTTATATTTATTTGAAGATTTAAAATTTCTAAATACTACGATAGTCGAAAATCATTAGACACTGCTAAAATTCTTATATCTATAATAATTCCATCTTTTCCACTAATAATACTTGGTACTACTTAATATTTCTGTATTACACAGGTGAAAAGTTCAGGTATATATATTGAGTGGGATTTTTAATATTGGTTTATTTTAATCATCTAATTTAAATTAAAAATAAATTTATGAGTATGTATGTAAATGTATAATTATTATTATTTTTATTAATAATATCCATTTGAACTATTAAATAATTTATTTTTAACTAATAACTTAAAATATAATACTTATTGGCAAATGGTGGTTTTGTGATAATATACTTATTAAAAAAAAAAAAGTTTAATTTGTATACAAAATCTGTTGAATCCTATATTATTAGGGTTGCCTCATTATAAACTTATTAATTTAATGCATTGTTCATTATTCCAATCCATTTTAAAAATAAAAATAATAATTATTTAAATATTTTATATTATAAAAGTTCATTCAGCAGCTGTACAGACCAAATTTTGACGAAAACTAAATATCAACATATTGCATACAAATTGATAAATTTTTTTGATGTACCGCTTCCCGAGCAAAGGTGACTAAAGGTTTATTCAAAATTGGTGTTAATTTGGTCATACTGTTTATACTTAGACCAATATCACCGAATAAAGTTGAAAGTTATTGCAATATTCAGGTCATAATATTGTTGTAAATTAGAAAATATGGGTTCTCACTAAATCTTTATTAGGAAACTAGGGCTTAAATGAATAGATATTATAATTATAGATCATTTAGCATTATTAACTCATATTTCATTTATATAAATTAAAGTATAATTTTTTATAACCTAATTTTAATGAAAATAGAAGAGTAATAATAATATTATAAAGTGAATTAATTATGCATGAATAGCAAACATATTTTTTTCATATTGGGTAACTAAATAATATGCATTATTTAATAAATTGCATCATTATCATCCAGACCATCATCTTCATCATCAAGATAGCCTTCACCATTATCAAAATAGTTTTTATTATAATCCGTGCCATCATCTAATTCGTCATCTATATCACTATCAAATTCTTCATCAATGTCTTTAGGTTGTTCATCATTTTCTTCATCTTCTTTTTTTTTACGTTCTTCGCCATCTTCAACATCAATATCTTCTTCATCATCAAGTTCTTTAGCTATACTTTCATTGATTAATTGTGATGTAGTAGTACTATTATCAGTTTTTGGTTTCTTTTTGTTGGCAGGACAAAGGAAATCATCAATTTTATTTTTTTTAGCAGAAACAATTTCTTGTAATGACAAATAATCATGATTTGCTACTTCGGATTTTAATTTTTCCATCCATTGTACATCGTTGAGTAAACTGTTATGTTTTTCATCTTGGGAATTCTTTTTTTTTTTTGGTAATAATGAAGGAGGAAAATAGTTATGATTATCAATACTTTTGAGATAAGACCAAGGGCTTGTATACTCTTCTTTGGAAATAAATGATGTAGCATTATGAAAATGTTTAGCCAACTTCTTTTCAAAGGATATCAAATCTTCATCTTCACTATCTTCCTCAATATCAGTAACTGTTGCTCTCAAGGGAGGAAAAAGTTCAGGTGCTTTAAAATCAAGTGGATCATCAGTTTCAATTTTGTCTGGTCCAATAGATATGTGTGGACGATTACCAACTCCTCCACGGCCTCCTCCTCTTTTTCCTCTTGATGCACCAGCCATTAGACTAACACTTTTCTAGATCTTTTTTTACTGTAGATGATTTTTGTTTATGAGGTAATGTTTCCTACAAAAAGTTAATTAAATAATAAATAAATGTATTATATATGTTGTAATAGTGTATAAATATTATCATCATTAATATTATTAATTATTACATTATGAACTTAATAAAACTAATTATAAGACTAAAATAATTTAATAATTATTTAAATAATTTTGTTAAAAGGTTATGATTCATGACACAATTATAATATAATTTACCTTATTACTGCTCAAATTACATACATATGATTATTAAGCAGCAAGGCTAAATGTTTGATGGGTTTCTGGTGTCTACAGGTAAGATCAGCATGTATACTATCAGTGTATTTACCCATTAGACTTTTTGTACACCATTCTTTATACGACTGTTCATGTTTTTTGAGTTATGTAATTTATTTATTATTTTTAATTTTCCAAGCTCTATTTTATAAATTATTAGTCCTTCCTTAGGCTTTAATTTATGTCTTTGTCAGTAACAAATAAAATACTGCCAAAATTAAATAAATTATTATTGTAAGTATTAGAAAAATATACTGTAAATATAAGATTAAAATGTAAATTTTGATTGATAATTTATTTTTGCTGGCAAGGGTAGAATTTTTTGAAATGTTTATTTTTAAGTTGAAATGTTGAATTATACATCATTATATTGCAGCAGTAACAGTAGAGAATATAATATTAAATTAATTTAACAATATATAAAACATATTTTTATTATTATTTAATATAATATTTTTCTTTACTATGTGTTTAATTAAAAATAGTGTCAGTTAGGTGCATTTCTAAGCAATGCATAGTTTAATATTAAAAAACTATGTATTCTTTTAAATTAACGTCTATTTTACTCTTCAAAAAAAAAAAAAATAAAAAAAAAAAATACTTATGTAATCAATAAATACTTACAGGATCATATACAACTTTTACAACTAAAGAACAACTAGGACATGTAGCATCTGTTTCTCCCGATTCCAATTCTTCCTAAAATCAGAATAAAAAATTATAATGGTTATTTTAAATTTATAGTTAAATTGTAATTTTATTTAAATATCTTAATAATTATTTATTCACAAATGAAAAATAAGAAAAAATTATTAGAAATATCAGGTTAAAATGAATCAAGAATACATAAATGCATACTCTTCAATATAATATACCATTAAAGTAAAAATGTAATCTTAGATAAGTAATTAGATAACCTAGCGTTATTTATCTAGATAAGTCCCAATACTGGCAGAAATTATATACTAATTTTTAGAATAAGACTAATACTTTTGTTATTTGGAAACGATCACCACATGGACACGGATAATAATACATTTCATCATCTTCATCATATTCAAAATCTTCTATTTCAACTTCGTCGTGATATATTGACATTTGAAAAGGATATTTAAAAATTAAAATTAATTTTAAATTGTAATACAATGTAAAAAAATAAAACCATAAGTAATAACAGTGTTCGTGCCGATACGTCTGTTAAATTGCATATTTGTATATTTGTTCGTATCGATTCTTATCGCGCGTGAGATCGTTACTATGTGTGATTTTTGTAATGAATGTTACAATTTTCGTGCGATGCATAGCGGTGCGTTGCGTACCCGCAGCCATCGTCGGCGGCGGTGATAAGCCTCCGTGTGCGACCGGTCGGGTACGTAATCGCGTTGTTATCGTCGCGCGTAAATGTGTCCGTTATTTCCACGTTTTCAAATTTTCGGTTATGTTTTCGGTAAAAGTTAATGTCATGCTCTCAGTGCCGCAAAGTTTCATAAATTCTCGTGTTATAGTTTTAGTGTGGTGGCACTGAGACATTTATCTTCATTTTGTGGTGTCCGGCGGTGTAGTCTTCGTGGTGAATGTCGTCGGCACCGATTCTCTTCCGTGTGTTTTCGTGGTGTGTACATCAACATTCATTTTGTCAAGTTTTTCGTACGTCTGCAGCCATTTGTAAAACCACGTTGTCTTGTGTTGTTTCTGTTTATTGGCCGTCTGGTATTTATCGTTCTAGTAACTATTTGTTTCAGGTTTTGATAGTTTTTTTGGTTTTAGGCATATCTACCAGCGGTCATTGTAAATAACGTGGTTTCAAATTGTGTTGTGTTTTGGCTGCAGTGTGAATTCGTCGTTCGTCTGTGACTGTGTTTGGGTGGTCGCACGCAGCGGGGACTGTGCTTTTTGAGTTTTGTTGTATTGTTTAGTATATTGTATAAGCACATTCCTCGTTGTGGTCGCGTGGGATGCAATCCGCCATTCAACGCAGTCACACTTATGAGTATTGGTCGACCATATTCGTTTATTAGTGTAAGGGCCGACGGGTCTAGCCGTCACCGGCAAATTATTATATTTAATGTGCGTCGTGTTGGCCACACATTGTTTAATTTATTGTGTTGTGGTTGTGTCACTGTAGGGCCAACCCTTGCCTTTATTTTATTATTATTTGCGTGCTGTGTAGGTCGCATATTGTATATTAATTATGGTAACATATAATTATGTAAGTATAACATTAAATTATGGATATGTTTTCGAGTTAAAACTTCGACTTGTATTATTTTAGTAACCAATGTAATTAGAGAAGAGTAATGCTTTTCTGTTCTTGCAATTCTTAATATTTATCTAAAAAACATATCCATGTAATAAATCTATGTATGTTTATAAATATATAGCTTAATATTTAATTGTATGTGAACCTTTCGAAAAATATATATTTTTCATAATTTTTTTATTAATTTTCTATGTATTAGTATGTAAATAGTATAAAATATTACATGTTTTAGTTTTAAGTATGTAGTAAAAAATAAGTATTCAAAAATATCTTAAGACCGTGGTGATAAACATGAAACATGTACTAGCGTGGATATGGATAATATTGTATGTTATCTATGTATAATATACATTGTATATGTTTGGACATGCGTCTAGCAACAGGTAATCCGGATGGCTGCAAGATGGCCAACTTCGTTTTCGTTATCACCGATTTTATTATCAATTTAAAAATTAATGAGCAAAACGAATTAACAAAACGCGCTCAGACTGAAAAATATTGTATTTTATTAATTGGAAGTATTGGAAACAGGCGCAAATTCAATGAAAAATCTAGGGTTGCTGAAGCCCTTCTATCTTTTTCTATACGTGAGGAAATAACTGTCCTGAAACGGTAAAAATACGCTGTAAATAAGTCTTTCACTTCTCAGATTTTAGTTATTTAGTCATAATTCCAAAATTAATGTGGCTAGAAATTTGAAACTTAACTTGTAGCAAAGATATTTTTTTCGTATTTTAGAACGTTTTCAAATAGCGATTTTGATTTAAATATAGAACTTTAAAAATACCTAATTTTTTGAAAGTCTTTATGTAATAAAATTTTTATTTTTGGATATTAAGTGAAAATTTAATATCAGCTAACTCATATATGAGTACTTATTTACCAATACTGAAATTTTTTTTAAAAATCGTTAGTCTGAAATTTATTTCATAAGCGTTTAAGTAAATATTTATAGCTACAATTTTTACGGATTTTACTATTTTTACATCAATTTTCAACATTAAATGTTTATTAAAAAAATTAGGTCCATCCAATCATAATGAAACTTTGAATACAGATAAATATTTGGTTAAAAAAAATTAATAAAATTGTAAAAAGTAAAATGTTAAACAGGTTGATAAAAAAAAAAAGAACTTACCAATAATTAGACTAAAAATGGTTAAATGTACTTATAAATGGTTAATTTTTATATTGAACCTTTACTCAGAGTCATTCAATATGATGGTTTAAGTTTAGGGATTTCAAAATCTGGTGACCTAACCTATTACTATTATTCAGTTCGAGGACCGAAAAGAGGAAGGATGAACGTCCACCACCATTATTTAAATAATAAATTTATATATTTATACAGTAAAAACTCTATTTTTCTATACATAATGAGCAGGGCTCGAGACTTGTAGTATTTGCATATTTTTTTGTAGTTTATGAAAAGATAGCAGAGTGAGCAATAAATCCATTTCAGACAAAAATGAACTCAATTCTAAAAGTTTTAAGTGCATATTTTTGCATATTCTAGAGGTTTTGCTATTTTTTCGACTATTTTGCTATTTATTGCTAATTAATGTAAAAATCGAAAACTCAGTCTTGCAAAAATACATATTTCGACCACTCATCAGTGATCAACAGTTTTGGGACGTTATAAAACTCATTGTCGATTGAAAAAAAATATTCCTAAAATATCCCAATCCAAGTCAATATTGTGTTTATCGTATCTTTTATCTTAATGTTGTACAAAACATTATTAAGCAATAACAGATCTTTCAAGTTTGAAAATATTCGGAAACATATAATAAGTGCAATTATGAAGGTACACACTGTAAGTTACTTTTCCATAATTTATTGATTTGAAATAATTATATTTTACAGATTGGCAAAATTCGATACATATAAATTAATGAGAACAGGAAAGAGTTTTTAGTCATTATTTGTAGAAAATTAACTGTAAAATTATATAAAATTTTTCTTTAAATTTTAATAATTATAAATTCATAAATGTCTAAATAAAAATTTTAAATAAATAATTTTTAAATCATATTTTCATATTTTTAGTGCATATTATAGCGCATATTTTACATTTTTTGGTGCATATAATAGCGCATATTTCATGATTTATTAGTGTTATAAATCTCGAGCCCTGATAATGAGTAATAAGTATTTAAATGCAAATTAACATAAACACATTTGAGGGTTCTAATTTCAAAAATGAGGGTGCTAAGCACACCCAAGCCCCACCCCAAATTGCGCCTATGCTTAGGACACACGAGATACGTGAAATGTCGACACGTACTTGGTTCCTGAATTCATATTTCATTATTTTCATCAATTTCGTGATAGTTAATTCATCAAACTTTAATACTTTTTACGTTTACATATCTTAATACTTAATAAATTTTATCTCCACATTTAAGAATAACCTATTACGATTAAATTTAAACACCATAAAGAGTTGAGAAGGTACCCAGATATATTTATTATTTTTTTTTCAAAAATGGAATGGTATTTAAAAAAAAGTCATAATTACTGCTCGGTATTTGGTTATAAGACGAAATACTTGTAGCGTGCTGCCGGTTACTCTACGATGGCATTAAAATGTTAAGTTCTAAGATTTTAGGATAAATTCAATATGTACTTGTATGGCTTTGTTGTCGATAATTTATTTGAAAGGCTTAGAACAATCAACAAAGTTTACAATTTTGACGATGATCGATATAAGCGCTGCGTTATTACTGTATAGCTGGTAACGTGTGAATTCAGTGCCTATCCGGAGCCCTTATATGTTGGTGGACGGCCTCCTAAAAGTTGATCCCATGCAAAATGTGACGTTATTTGCTCTCATAGATGACCCATACGTTGGCACGTGTACAAAAGTAGTTCTGATAATTTATACCATATATACACTAAATGTATAAGTTTTTTAACTACGCGAAGTGTTACAAAAACGTCTTCTCATACGTATCGTTATTTTATTAGCGACATATGCAGGGCTGGCCCAAGCAAAAATAGTGCACTAGGCAAAATCAAATTTTTCCGCCTCTAAAAAAAATTGAGCTTTTATTTTAACTTAGCCACTCCCCTTATTTTTACGTGACACATCTATGTAAAAAGACTTAAAAATGATTTCTATAATTATTACTCAAAACCCATCACTATCGCGACCGTCGAACATTGCGGAAGTGATTGTGTGGTTATTTATATTTTTGGAATAATCAAAAATGCCCAGCGTAGGCTGTAATATAAAGCAGTGGTTTTCAACCTTGGGGTTGCTACTCCAAGGGGATCACGAATCATAGGTTTGGGGGTTGCCAAAAATAATGGATGAAATAGTTTTTCCATAGGTATTATTTAAAAAAAAACAAAGTAAATTATTTATTTTGTGAAATTTTAAAGTGTTAATCAATGAAAATTATTTATCATGTAAATATTTTATCGGTAATTAAAT